CAAGAAATGGGGCCACAAAGTGGAATCCACAACATGCGAGTGTGGAGAAGAGCAAACTACAGACCACCTGCTACAATGCAACCTGAGCCCTGCCACACGCACAAGGGAGGACCTCCTTGCGGCAACACCAGAGGCACTCCAAGTGGCCAGATGTTGTGGTTCAACAGGCTCCTGAGCGGCCTGAGCCTGATGGTTTTCAGTTTTCACAGTTTTCTCAGCCTGCTTCTGAGATGGAGAAGCAGTTCTCACAGGACAGGAATGCAACTGATAAGGAGGAGAGCCAGGTGCTGCTTCAAAGGGATAACGAAACCGTGAGATGGAGCTCTTGGATCGCAGCCAAGTTAGATCAGCGTCAGGTCAAGGGAGCAGTGAGAAAGTAGATTGTGGGAAACTAGATTGTTTTGATGTGCAAAATGTATTTAGGGCTTCCACGGGCAATTCTTAGCTGTCAGTTTCAATGTGGCTATCTACTACCTGCATTGAGGCTGGAAAGCCTGGGTTTCTTCGTGCTGCTTTTGGGCTAAGCTGCTGGGCACAGAGTTTGTGCTTCCTGCTTCATGATTCCTGTTTACCTTGATTTTCTTGTAAGGATTTCTGGAACTGTACCATGCATTTTACCTGAACTTTGTAACTTTGTATTGGCTTAACCTTTGCCTTCTTTTGGAAACTTTACAATAAACTATAAATCCTACAGCCGTGGTCTAGTGGTGTTTGAGAGCAAGGTGAAGCCTAATCTGAGGTGCCACACCAGATACTGGTCAAAGAACATTTAATAGAATAACAAGTTTGCAACATTTGTGTTTTGTTTGTTTGTTTTGTTAAAAATGTAATACAACTGTCTGGTTGCTCCTGACATGATAAATAAATACCTGAATACAGCAGAGCCCTGGTATTGTGACACAATGTCACATAAAACTCAAGCCATTACGGTATATCACATATTTCTTGATGACTTGTTCCTGCTTCAGCCAGGTGACCCTTCACCAAGGCTGCTATTATGAGTATGATGATGATGATGATGATGATGATGATGCACCAAAGGGAACCTGAGGCAGCTCCAAAGCAGCAGACCTGAAAGAAAGCCCCCTCCCTGGAAGGGAAAGGCCTCCGTCCCAATGGTCAGGCACCGGGAGGCTGTGCTGTTGGTCAGAGAGGATGGAGGCCATTCCCAAGCCAGGTGCGACCTCTGGGGACCCTTTGCAGGTGCATTGAATCCAAAGGGATGGACTGGGGAGCCTTCGTGGGACTCTCTGGGCAAGGTTCCCTCCCATTTGGCAAAGGGACGCATTCCTGGCATAGTTGGCCATTCACTCTCTTTCAAACAAGGACAAACCCCAAGGCTGAGCCCAGCTGGATCAACCAGTCAGGTGGAAAGTGACCCAGGTGCACACCCAAATACAGAGGAGAAGGGCAAACAGAGGACAAGGGCAAACCCAAAGGAATCCTAGAGTTGGAAGGGAGCTCTAAAGGTCATCTAGTCCAACTCCCTTCTACCCTGCTGCAGGAAAAGCATTCTCAAAGCCCCCCACAGATAGCAATCCAAGCACAAACAAACCACGCTCAGCACAACTGTCAATAGAACCATAGATTTGAAGGTGACCACATGAGCTAGCTAATCCCATGGTGCCACACAAAAAAGCACTATCAAAGCAACCATGACAGATGGCCATCCAACCTCTGTTTAAAAGCCTCCAAGGATGAAGGTTCCACTGGACTCTGAGGCAGAGAGTT